TAAGAGTCACCATCTGGCATTTTGTCTAAAGGTCATGAACTCTAGCAAGTAAGAAGAATCCTTTGAAATGATTCTAGCAAAAGAAATGAACTGAGCACATTATAAGGCCATTTTGTTTCACACCATGTATGTTGTTTATGTTTTCAGAAATAGGCAATGCTTAATTGAACAAAAGTATTTAAAAAAAAATATTTCAAAGTTTAATACAGTTATGTAATACAGTAAGTACCGGAATTTTTATGAAGTAAGAATATTTTTGTTTTAAATTGATTATACTATTGCCTTGATATCTGAACACAAGACACATCTGCACATTGTTTTTCATTTGAAATATGACCTTGACCCCCAAATTCACTAGACACTCCTGCAATTTTTCAGTTTAGTTGTATAGAAATAAAAAGTATATACTTCTCTTCATTCTTAATGTATTCAGTTTTGTATTAATGTGGTGGCATATCTTTTTTTTTTCATAAATGCAAAGTATTTTTAGGCAACTTAAAATCATGAAAATCCACTTCAGAAATACTTTGACTAATCAATGTATTCTGGCATTATTTGTCAAATATTTCAATACAATCAATCTATGTTTAAAAAGAGGACTAATTCTTTCAAAATGCATACATACTAGAGTCTTGCCATGTCACCTTTTTCTTTTTTAAATAACTTCTTATTGTTCTGCAGGACTTGCAATTGTTACATTGCAAATAAACAAAATGTCTTTTAAAGACAAACTTTTTATACTTCTCAAAAAATATTCTAATACATCTTTTATAACCGCCTTTGTGGTCGAGGGGTTAGAGTGGATGATTTCTAATCCAGTTATCTCTCTGGCGTGGGTTTGATCCCCGGGAGATGCTTTGGTAGTTGAGCACAGAGGAAGGTAGTCTAGTACTGGTCTAACTCTCCAGGAATGATGGTTAGGAAACTACCCGCCTATATGACTGAAATACTGTTGGGAAAAGGTGTAAAATGAAACAAACAAACAAACAAACAGAAATATGAAGACTTTGTGATCAATAGTATTAAAGATAATAAGCGAAAATCATACTACCATTCAAGACCCCTGTGACCCAAAAATGAATGGGAGTCATCTACTAGTTGTGGCCAATCAATATGTGAAATATGAAGACTTTGTGATGAATTGCAACCAAGATAATGAGCGGAAACCTTTCTGACATTTAAAGCCTCTGTGACCTTGACCTTTGACCTAGTGACCCCAAAATCAATAGGGGTCATCTACTATATATGATCAATCACTATGTGAAATATGAAGACTCTATGCTTAAAGATAATCAGGGGAAACGATTCTGACATTTAAGGCCCCTGTTATACCGCCTCCGTGGTCGAGGGGTTAGAGTTGATGACTTCTAATCCAGTTACCTCTCTAGTGTAGGTTAGATCCCCGGGAGATGCTTTGGAAGTTTAGCGCGGAGGAAGGTGGTCTAGTACTGGTCTAACTCTCGAGGAACGATGGTTAGAAAACTACCCGCCTATATGACTGAAATACTGTTGGAAAAAGGCATAAAATTAAACAAACAAATAAATTTAAGGCTCCTGTGACCTTTGACCTTGTGATCCCAAAATTAAAAGGGGTCATCTGCCAGTTATGACCAATCGCTATGTAAAATATGAAGACTTTGTTTTGAATACTTTTCAAGATAATCAATGGAAACCATTCTGACATTTTAGGCCCCTCAGACTTTGACTTTTGACCTAGTGACCCCAAAATCAATAAGGGTCATCTACTAGTTATTACCAATCAGTATGTGACATATGAAGACTTAGTGATGAATACTTTTCAAGATAATCAGCTGAAACCATTTTGACATTTAAGGTCCATGTAACCTTGACCTTTGACCTAGTGACCCCAAAATGTATAGGGGTCATCTTCTAGTTATGACCAATCGCTATGTGAAATATGAAGACTTTGTGGTGAATACTTTTCAAAATAATCAGGGGTAACCATTCTGACATTTAAGGCCTTGTGACCTTGTGACTTTGACCTAATGACCCCAAAATCATTAGGGGTCATCTACTAGTAATGACCAATCACTATGTGAAATATGAAGAGTCTGTGATAAATACTTTTCAAGATATTCAGCGGAAACCATGTGGTCTACCGACAGACAGACAGACCGACATTAGCAAAACAATATACCCTATCTTCTTCGAAGTGGGGCATAAAAAAATGACTTTTTTACAACTTTTGTTTACATTTGAAACCCCAAATTTTATTGATATAAACATCTGATGTATTCTTTTGATTATTCATTTTCTAGTAAAAGTGGCTGTTTCTGTGTGTGAACAAGTGATGTAAATATTCCGCATGGCTAGTCGTTCATGTAAATAGTTCCTTGAACAGTTAAAGAAGTTCTCCTAACCTGTGTTATGCCCCATATCTGCATGTAAATTCTTTTCAGGGAATTTTCAAGTATTTGTATTTACAAATATCATACTAAAATATTGTTTACTGAATTCTTTGAAAGTACTATATTGTTACATAACTTTACTTTTTTTCTTCCAAACTTTTCATATAATAAACACATACTTGGGATTAAAATATAGGTGTTATAACAGATTACCTACCGGCTCTTTTGTTAAAAGCGGTCTAGTAAATCACTTACCGACCGCTTAACAGGTCTGCAAATATATACCGACCTGTTATTGTTCTATTGTTCTCTATACAATAGAAAATATGTGAAGTCGAGAAACTCGTGCATTACACTATATTCACCGTTAACAGATATCCCGTAAGAGAGAAATTTTGAAAAATAATGCTGAATTGTGCAAATTTATGGGGGGGGGGGGGGGGGGGGGGGGGTTAATGACCACTTCAAATAGGAAAAAGAGTCTATATGTATTTCACCAAATTAATAGAAAGAAATTAGCGCATACGGCTGTAAGGACCCTCATAACATATATTCCAGATTATTTGTGAGACAAACGAACTGGCTACGTATACTGGCGTTGAAGTTTGTGTTTCGCGATATTCATGAGTACAATAACGCACACTTAGCCTTTCATTATTGTTTGCTTTTCGGTATACCTAACACATTGGCCGAACCATATAGCTTCATAAGATACTAGTTTTCGACATTTATTTCCACAACTATGTCTGATTTTGCACAATCCTGCATTATTTTAACAATTCTGCATCATGGGATATATACGACGATTTTATTATTGGTGCATATCGAATCAAAGTCAACTTCTGCATCTTTCTTTCCCAAAATATTACTTTCAGTGAGAGAATAGTTCATCTTAAGTATAAGACCGTTTTTTTTTCTCATTTTCTCCAGTTTTTTTTTTTTTATATTACAATTTTAATTTTGTATACCAGTACATGCAGTACTCGCCTGTTCTTTGCAAGAATACGACTTGGGCTTCCATTCCAGACTGCGGTCTTATCAAACATATTAGTAAGGGATTATGCTAATTAAAAATACACCGAAAGAAAATTCTCCCAACATGAATGAAATATTAAGTATTTAAAATCAGCCATCATAAAAAACAACAAAAAACCCAACTTACATGACGGTATATCTACGTGTATTACTAATGTTTATTCATAAAACTCTGTCTTTTACTTTCCTTTGAAAGAATCGTATATTCTTATTATATTAGAAATAGCCTGTTCATCTATTTACCAAAAAATTAATTATATACATTGTATACCAGTAAAAATAGTGTTCCGTTTTTATGATTAGAAAACTTTTTTTTACTTCCTCAATATGTGTATATGTTATTATTATGTTTTGTATTCATATATCAAAATAATGATCTTACCTTTGTCTACTTGAAATAGAATCTCAACAAGTTCTGTTTTCATTTTCTGTTACTCAACTCAACAAGTACATTTACTTGACCTTATTACATAATGAAACCCCACGAAAAACACGAGAATATTCAAATAACACCTGATTTGTGAACGAATGAATTACAAGAGCGTAGCGGTTGGTATCTTCGAATGACTTTGGAAAGCTTTCTTAAACACGATGAAGTACATAAATAATTTGTTTCTTGTGAGTAATATTAATAAATACTGAGTTTAAAAATGATGTATGGATAGAAAAACAAAAGAGCATGTAGGTAAGATAGTTACCGCACTCGGAATAGGTCTGCATAGTATTTACAGACCAGGTGGCCTTTTAAAAACCTCGATCGCTACGCTCTCTCGTTCTTCAAATCGCCACCCGGGTCTGTAAATACTATGCAGACCTATTCCTCGTACGGTAACTATTACTTGCCATTGAAATAAAGCTTCAAAATACTCTAGATGTCAAAGCCTACTTACTTACAACTACATATTCTGGAAGTCTATTGTTAACTTTTTCAATGTTTGTTTCCTAATCAGCTGTTAATCAGACCTCAAGCTAAAACCATTTTAGCTGTTGGTTTAACCAAAATCTTTTAATTAATTTTTCACAGTTTCAAATAGAAAACTGATTAAGTAATTTCCTAGAGTAGGTTCTCTTTTTCAATGCAATCTGTCACCTTAGAAGTCTGTGGCTAATAAAAGCCAAGGAACCCCTTTTTAGGTTCAGATGACTTCTTACTTTAATAAACTATGTTCAAACTACAAAATAGTGTTTATTGGTTAATTCCAGAATAAAACCAGCTAATTTACAGTAATACTACTGCCTCAAGCTCACAGTGTCACACTTTCATCCTGGTCCAGATAAATTTACAACACAAACATTTTCGGCTGCACGCATTTAGCAAGAAAATTATTAGGCATTACACCTGTAAATCATCTGTTACATCTGCCATTTTTATGGTAGTATTGGTGTTGGAATAAGAGAGGTAGGGCATATACAATGCAATGCCTGTTGTTTTCCCTATCCAGGATGAGAATGAAACATTGTACATGTAATTGACTTTACTTTCAATGAAAAATAAAGTTAATTAATTTCATATTATAATCATTCATTAAGAAAAGATTCAGTTTCCTTTAAAACATGTTCATACAGTTGTTTCATGGATTATACATTTTATTCCAGGATTATGTCTTGAAAAAAGAGCATTTTACAGGATGGTTTCAGGCTTACACACAAGTATAAATATACATTTATGCTATGAATATTTGTTCCCAGGTATGTTAAAAATTAATTTGTGGATCACTTCTTAAAACAGTTTGTTTTTATATTAACAATTCATCTCTATTATAACATTTTCAAGATTTTCACAACTTTAAAAGCAAGAATTTTACTATTGTGACTTCTAGCTCTGGCTATGTGGTATTTTCTGATCTTTGCAATCTAAATCATACTGTATATCTGTATGCATTTTCCTGTGTTAGTTTATTTTGATATACTATAATTCATCTTGCAGGGCACCATGTTGCAGCGACAGTGTTTAGATTTTTTGCTATAACAGTCTGAGTTGGGAATTTTGCATGACCAGAGTTTCTAACTTGCTTGATGAAATCATTTATGTACATTTTTTTATGACAGCCACACTTTATCCTTCGGATAATGGCTAATTCCTTAAGAAAGAATGTCTCTAAAAACTTCCTAAATGAGCAAATCAAAATATTTTAAATTTAGAATTATCACTGGCATGTTCCACTTCATTGCACAAAATGGCCGCCAGAGCTATTAAAAATGGTAAAATCTTGTCTGGCCTTCACAGGTCCTACCACTGTTGGGATTTCAATCAAACTTTACAGGAGTGATTGACCAGTACCATGCCTTATTGTAAACATTATCGGTACTTTCTGTTTCGCTGCATGAAATGGCCGCCAGTAGCTAAAAATAGACAAAAGCTTTCACAATTCAAACTCCTGGTGGGATTTCAACTAAATTTTACAGGAGTGATCAGTACCATCCCTTGTTCTGCACATCACTGGCATGTTCGGCATCGCTGCACAAAATGGCCGGTAGAGCTAAAAATAAAAAATCTTGCCCGAGCTTCACAGGGCAAACTACTGGTGGGATTTCAACCAAACTACCGGAGAGACATACATAGTTTTAGGAGATATATGTTTTTATGACAAGAACCCCTCTAGTTTCCAGTGGGGTTTACTGATGTAAATAATTTAGCGAAAATTTTCTCGCACAAATAGTTTGACGTGATCCGTAAAATCCCGATTTAACGCCGGGGGGGGGGGGGGAGGTTTACATTTTTCAAAAGGGACGCATTAATTAAAAAAAAAAAAATAGACAAGTCTCAACAAGGAAAGGCTTAGTGAAAATGATTATCTTTTCTTCCTCTACAAATGATGTAAAAAAAATCCACACAAGTTCTGTTTTAACACATCATCATCCTGTCAAAAGGGACGCATTAATTAAAAAAAAAAAAAAATAGACAAGTCTCAACAAGGAAAGGCTTAGTGAAAATGATTATCTTTTCTTCCTCTACAAATGATGTAAAAAAAATCCACACAAGTTTTGTTTAAACACATCATCATCCTGTCCACCCATGACACCTTTGATTTACACTGCGACCTCTCTTGAATTTTCCTTCCAAAAATTCCTTGCAGTTGACACCTTTGATCTCGCCATCAATCTGACGTCATTGATGCTACTTGCCTTATTTACAATGTGTCAACACATCCCACTTCCAGATCTGTGTAGTTGTCCACCCTAGAATGCAATACTCTATCCTAGTGTGTGACCCTGTAAATATGTTTACCAGTTTGTGTTATTTTAACAGTTTAACTGTTCTCAAGTCGACTTCACTCAGTTTTAGTGAACTTTAAAGTGTTTAAGTTTTGATTCACGGATATTTACATAAATGGAATGATACTGGATATAAATTGCCGAACTGGTCAGAGAGTTTACTTTATTTTCTGTTATTTTCTTAATTTAAATTATACACAAGGTTTTCAAAAGTGGGTGGGGGTGTCAATTAAGGTGAGGGTGTTAAATCGGGATTTTATGGTATATAATATTTAAGATTTATTTGTGTAATACACACTAAAGTGTGGCCTTATCTACAACGCTAAAAATAACGCTTTGTTTATGTGGATTTAATTATCGGTTGCTTAACTTATAAGACTATTACTTATGGTAGAAATTGATTATTTATCGTTGACTGCCCTACATTCCTCCCTGTCATAGAGTCAACATCCTTACTTAATTTTTCAAAAAGTCTAAATAACAAGTGTTCATTTAGGCGATGTTTAATTCCAATCACAATAAACCGAAGCTTTACGGAACTAGCTGAGCAATTTTCATTGATTAGAATGATATTCATCCACATAATTTGTGATTGTGTATTTATTGACAATTCTGTGAGCCAAAACTACTTTTAAACTTTGAATGCAATTGTAATTCCCTGGATACTTGTAACAAAATAAAAATATTTCTTTCTTTTATATCGATTGTTTTAAGCTGTTATTTTTATAGAACTACTTTTTGTTGTTAGGATTGTTATGGAAAGTGCTGTTCCAGATATTGAATGTCAGCATTGTATTTCCTGATCTGCAATCAGAAAATACAAAAGTATTCTTTCAAAATGCTTGTATGAAAGAAATATGGTAATTGATTGCCATGAAAGCGAATGACTCATGCAGAAAATCATTGCTAAATGGATAAAACCCTACTTAAAATAGCAAAATAATATTTTTTATTCTGTTTACATACATTATTCATGTGTATTAAATTACAGAGACATTCTATGTTAAAATGTTTTTGGGAGTCAACCATATAATAATGGAACCAATGGAATTTTACTGTTGATAAATTTTATTAAAATATAGATAGAGATTTATACCCTTTAAGGACAAAGATTGCAGTTTTGCTTAATTTTTGCTGAAATTGGCAATAACATTGTCATTTATAAATTGATCCTCTTCATAATGGGACAGACAAGACCTTCAAGTAGTCCAAACTTATTATGACCTTCACTCATCAATGAAATTGACTTTGAAGGTCAAATTAATAAATTTTGCTTGATTTTAATGTGTAGCCTCTACAGAACCTTGCTTACACAGTACTGGGGAGCACCAAAACCGGACAACCACCTAACCCGGACGGCCCCGAAAATGCTAATTTAGTATTTTGTTTGTTCAGTGGTTGTCAGTCACTTTTTTATCAACAATAAATGCATGTTTCTTCCAAAATTAGGTAAATAAATTTATTTCAACCTCCGTAAATGGTAATATTTTAATGTCTATTTCAAGTATGTTGACGTTGAAATTTGGGGGTCAAGAAAACAATGCCTGACCTTATATAATCATTTGAAGAGTAAACAATAGAATATCCAAAACTTCAGCATTTGTTGCTGAAATATTGTATATCATGTTAAAAATCAAAAATGGAAACACCCAAGCTTTTATCTGAATTAAATCACGTCATGTACATATCTGTCCGGACACATGGTACTGTAGTGTAGACAATTTAGGTAATTTTGATACCCTCCTTGTCAAGCCTCAGATATAAGTGTCAATTAAATCAGAAATAAACAAACTAGTTTGTTAGTTAGGAAAAGAACCTAGCTGAACTGTGTCAAATTTTTTGATTTCTAGGTTAAAAATAAAGAAATCTGTACGGAAAATTGTTCCAAAAGTGTCCGGTTGATGGTCTCCGACCAGTAGAGGATAACAGAGTGTTTATGTAGAAATATCTTGGAAATTAGTCTGAAAGGTTGTTTGGATGGTTTCTAGGTAATGTGGGTAATCTGGGGTTAAAAACTAGTCACACAACTCAAATTATGGAAAAAAATTGTTCACATTCTAAAGGTATTTTGTTCTCATTCTTAAGGTAATATTTTCATCCCAAATATCCTGAAAATTTGTCAGAAAAGTTGTTTGGTGATTTTTAGCTCAGCTTTGAACATGGGTCATCCCTGGTCAAAATCTAGTTCACACAGATCAAAAATAGAAAAACTTTGTTACCACTCTAGAGGTTACTTTTTAGCCCAAATATCCTGAACATTGGTCTGAAAAAGTTGTTTGAATGACTTCCAGTTCAGGTTTGAATATAGGTCATCTGTGATCAAAAAAAGGTTGCAGCATATAAAAGGCATAATGGAAAAAATGCTGATTAACATTTGCACTATATCAGGTGCAGATATGATTTTTATGATATCAGTTTAAGTTTATGCATTATGTCTGCCTTTCATTCATTACTGACAATTCAGATCCTCAATTATCAGATGAGCGATATAAGGCCATCATGGCCCTCTTGTTTATGCATTAATTTGCTATAACTTTGTAAGTAATGAATGAACTGTCTTCATACTTTAGCAAAATAATTAATTTGACAAGACATAAAAGAAAATTTGATTAATGTCCTTGACCTTTATTGTCAAATTAGTGATTTTTGCAACAATTTGCCACATTTAATATTATCTTTGTTTTTTTATACTTTGGCAATAGAAAGCTTAAAACAAACAGGTGTCCGTGACGTTTGTATGATATTGTTTCCAGCTTTCTGAAGTGAATATTTATTTTAAGTTTTTTCTCCATTCAGCAGCAACATGTTATGGTAAAGAGCAGTGGGGCTCTAACCTTGAAGAATTCCAGCGAAGATTTGATCACTCTCAGACAGATGGACATGGACCTCAGTGGCTGAAGAATCTGTACTTCACATACTTAGTTGAGCTGAGAGCACTTGCAAAAGCAGCTCCATACTTTGAAGAGGTATATGATGGTCAAACTAATTTTTAACCAGGTTTCCAACGAAAACTGGATTATTGTAACGCTGAAATCGGTGGGCGTCAACTTTTGGTTTCCACTCAATAACTTTAGTTTGCTTTGGCCTATTGACACCAAACTTGGTATACTAAGGTAGCTTATTTCAAGAGGCAGCTTTGGATTGCTACCCAGGTGTCAGTGATCAAGTTCAAGGTCCCTGTTACTAAAAATAGAAATTCAGTTTCCGCTCAATAACTTGAGTTTGCTTGGCCTATTGACACTAAACTTGGTGTATAGATAGCTTATATCAAGAGGCAGCTTCGGATTGCTGCTCAAGTGTCTGTGATCAAGGTCAAAGTCACCGTTATTAAAAATAGAAATTCAGTTTCCACTCAATAACTTAAGTTTTCTTTGGCCGATCGACACCAAATTTTGGTGTATGGATAGCTTATATCAAAAGGCAGCTCCCCAGGTGTCTGTGATCAAGGTCACTGTTACTGAAAATAGAAATTCAGTTTCCGATCAGTAACTTGAGTTTTCTATGGCCTATTGACACCAAACTTGGTGTATATATAGCTTATATCAAGAGGCAGCTTGGGATTGTTATCCAGGTGTCAGTGATCAAGGTCAAGACTACTGTAACTGAAAATAGAAATGCAGTTTCCGCTCAATAACTTGAGTTTGCTTCAGCTTATTGACACCAAACTTGGTGTGTAGGTAGCCTTCATCACGAGGCAGCTTTGGATTGCTAGCTAGGTGTCTGTGGTCAAGGTCACTGTTACTTAAATAAGAAATTTAGTTTCTGCTCAATAACTTGAGTTTGCTTTGGCCTATTGAAACCAAACTCGGTGTATGAATTTATATCAAGAGGCAGCTTGGGATTGCTACCCAGGTGTCTGTCATCAAGGTCAAGGTCACTGTTACTAAAAGAGAAATTCAGTTTCTGCTCAATAACTTCAGTTTGCTTTGGCCTATTGACAGCAAACTTAGTGTATGGGTAGGTTATATCATGAGGCAGCTTGGGATTGCTACCAAGGTGTCAGTGGTCAAGGTCACTGTTACTAAAAATAGAAATTTAGTCTCTGCTCAAATACTTGAGTTTGCCTTGGCCTATTGACATCAAACTTGATGTATGGATAGCTTATATCAAGAGGCAGCTTTGGATTGCTTCCCAGGTGTCTGTGATCAAGGTTAATGTATTTAGTTTTCATGTAATAACTTCAGTGCACTTTGACCTCTTGATTGCTGTCACATCAAAACTTGGTTGTTGAAAACCTGGTTATCTTTCCATTGCAGTGCTTTTTGTCTAGCGCGTTCCCTTTGCTGTCTGCAAACTTTAACCTTGTCTTCATACTTTGCAACAACAACTCTTGGGACAAGACCTTCACAAGGCAAGACTAAACTTGACCTTCATTCATAAATGACCTTGACCTTCAAAGTTAAATGTCTAAATTTTCCTTTATTTTAGCTGATTTTTGCTATTTTTGCCTATGATTTGTAATTTTAGTAGTGCCAGCTTACATCACTTTTGGTGTATAATGGTGTGTCACACACAAAACCCTGATGCAGGGATTTTTGTGTTGCCTCTGCAAAGTAGTTGGAACATAAAGGGATCACTTCTCTGCCATCTACCTGTCTGTCTCTTTGTCCTTCTGTCTGTCTGTCCGTCACAAATCTTGTCAGGACTACTCCTCAAAAACTACAAGTGCAATTACATCCAAACTTTACAGGAATGATCAGTACCAAGTGTAGTTGTGCATATGATCGGCTTTTTCTGGTTTGTGCCCCTACTGTAGGGGGCGGGGGGGGCGTGGTTTTTAGAATCTGTCTGTCTGTTCGGTTTTTTTTGTGTCCCATGAAACTCAAAAAGCATTTGACATAGAGTCCTGAAACTTTATAGGAATATTGATCAGCATGTGTAGTTGTACACATTGGTGTGTGAGATTTATTCAGCATTTGTAGAGTTATTGCCTTTGCTTAAGTAAATCCTGTAATTTTCAACTTGTGTCGCACATAGCCCAAAGAATATTTGATCTAGGGTCATGAAACATTACAGGAATGTTGCTAAGCATGTGAAGTTTTACACCTGGAATTTCAATTTTTGATTTATTCTGTTTTGTCAGAGTTATGGCCCTTGACCTTTACAATTTTCAATTTATGTGGCACGTAGCTGAAAAAAATATTTGACCTATAGTCATGAAACTTTACAGGAATGTTGATCAGCATGTGTAGTTGAGCATGTGGGTGTTTGTGTGTAGATTTAATCAGTATTTGTTATTGCCCATGACTTGGTAAAACTTTTCTATTTTCAACGACTGTTGCAGTTAGCCAAAAAAGCATTTGACCTAGGGTCATGAAACTTTATTGAAATGTTGCTCAGCATGTGAAGTTGTACACATGGAGTTTCAATTGTGGCTTTATTATGTTTTATCAAAGTTATGACCCTTTTCTTAGTATAAATTTACAATTTTCTCCAACATTTTTAACAAGACCTATTGAAAGGATGAACTGACCTTAACCTTGAGTTTGTAAATGATCTTGACCATTAAGGTCAAATTATTGAATTTTGTGTTAAATTATCATTCTTTTCCTATTTATATAGGGATTTGATTTAAACTTGGATAAAACAAGACTTGCTATAACAAACATATTGAATAATTTAGATGTGACTTTGACCTTAAATGAACCTTGACTGTTAAGGCCAAATTTATGGAATTCTCTTTTTATACTCCTGTTTAAAAAAAACAGGCGGGCGCAGGCGTCCAAATTTTGTCTGGAGCATATCTCCTACACGCTTGGAAGAATTCAAATGAAACTTCATAGAAATGTTCACCACTATGAGAAGCTGTGTCGCACACATGAACCAGGGCTGCGTTTCATGGAGAGTCCTAAGTTAATCCTAAATCCTAGGAATTATAACAAACTTTAGGAGAAAATGTTTTTGCACTTAAGACCGTTTCAAGTAACTGTCCTATCTTTTGTCTTAAACTTAAGACTTATGACCAATTCGCTCTCCTGAAAAAAGTTACATATACAATGGCACGAGCATAATCCCGGATTGGATTTAGTATGTTATTGATTATAGCAAGTATAAAAAGTAATGTTTTGCCCTCTTATCATGTTGAGTGAAAATATATACCATTTTTCACGAAAAACGATAAAATAACCGTTTTATTTAATTTCATAGTAAAAAAAATGGTTACGAACCCCTTTGCTTGCTACGCACTGCAATTGTACAGCGCGCAGTAATATTATTATTTATTATAGCATAAAATCGGCTATTTTTCCCTCTTTTGCCCATATTATAACGGGACCAAAACCATGTGTTAACATAGTCACGCGCTCTTGTTATAGCCCGGTTTCACCTATGCGCAATACATACAGGGCCCAGTAAACAAACAAACAAAAAATGACGATTTGGCCTGTTTGCCGAAGAGTCATGCGCTCTTGTTATATTGAAATTTATTGATTCGAGGGCCTCAGTCGCATATTCAAGTAACTATGCCGGAAAAACGGCGTATACAGTAGGCATCGGTGCTAATCTTGGTTGTCGCCCTTTCTAAGAAACGGACAGTTGTCAATGTAAACAAATACAGTAGAATCTACCTGTCATTCAGTTTAACACTCCGTTTTACTTACAAAACTAGATAACACAAAATTAATATGAGAAAATGTTTTTTATTTATGTTAATATTGATAAATGCTCTTTATATTTCTTTGAGTGAATAATGCTTAGTGCCTGATTTTTAGCTCACCTGAGCATATGCTCAGGGTGAGCTATTAGGATCACTCTTCGTCCGTCGTCTGTCGTCCGTCGTACGTCGTCCGTTGTCCGTTCACACTTTTCAAACGACATCTCCTCTGAAACCATAAGGCAGATCATAATGAAACTTCACAAGGATGTTCCTTGTGTGAAGCCTTAACAAAGTTGTTCAAAGAATTCCATTCCATGCAGAACTCTGGTTGCCATGGCAACCAAAAGAAAAAACTTTAAACATCTTCTTCTAGATAACACAAAGAGCTAGAGCTTAGATATTTTGCATGAAACATCTTCTAGTGAGTGTCTACCAAGATAGTTCAAATAAAAGCCCTGGGGTCAAAATTGGCCCCGCCCCAGGGGGTCATTGAATTTCACTTTATGCATATAGTAAAAACTTAAAAAAATCTTCTTTTAAAGAACCCAAAGAGCTAGACCTAAGATAGTAAGCATGAAACATCTTCTAATGAGTGTCTACCAAGATTGTTCAAATAAAAGCCCTGGGGTCAAAATTGGCCCCACCCCAGGGGGTCATTGATTTTCCTTTTATGCATATAGTAAAAACTTAAAAAAATCTTCTTCTAAAGAACCCAAAGAGCTAGAGCTTAGATATTTGGCATAAAACATGTTCTAATGGATGTCTACCAAGTTTGTTCAAATAAAAGCCCTGGGGTCAAAATTGGCCCCGCCCCACGGGGTCATTGATTTTCCCTATATGCATATAGTAAAAACTTAAAAAAATCTTCTTTTAAAGAACCCAAAGAGCTAGACCTAAGATATTAAGCATGAAACATCTTCTAATAAGTGTCTACCAAGATTGTTCAAATAAAAGCCCTGGGGTCAAAATTGGCCCCGCCCCAGGGGGTCATTGATTTTCCTTATATGCATATAGTAAAAACTTTAAAAAATCTTCTTTAAAAACCCCAAAGAGCTACAACTAAGATATTTAGCATGAAACATTCTCTAATGGGAGTCTACCAAGTTTGTTCAAATAAGGGCCAATGGGTTAAAATTGGCCCCGCCCCAGGGGTCATTTATTTTCCCTATATGTGTATAGTAAAAACTTTAAAAAAATCTTCTTATAAAAAACCCAAAGAGCTAGACCTAAGATATTAAGCATGACACATCTTCTAATAAGTGTCTACCAAGTTTGTTCAAATAAAAGCCCTGGGGTCAAAATTGGCCCCGCCCCAGGGGGTCATTGATTTTCCCTATATGCATATAGTAAAAACTTTAAAAAATCTTCTTC